ATTATTTGATTAGAAACCTTTTTAATTGCTTTTTTTGAATACAAGATATTATGGACACTTATCTTTTTAAGAAAATTTTTTTTTTTTTTTCTTAATAATGAATTTTTACAAAAAATTTTTTTTTTTTTAATTTTAATTAAAATAAGTTTTTTTAAAATTCTGTATTAATTTGTAGTGGCTAGTAAACATGTCAATTTTTGAAAATATGTATATCTATAAGTACCTAAAATTGAATCAAGTATTAGATTACTTAGAATATTTTAAGTTTTTTAAATTATTGGGTAATTAAAAAAAATTATAAAAAAAAAAAAAAAGCCACTCATGTTTGTATCTGTCAAGAACTGTATTTGTGTATAAGCCAACTTCATATATAGTGTGGCCACTGAAAATTTTGCATGAATTTTAGCATCTCCAGAAAAGTCTCAAATAATGCAGGGTTTTTAACCTCTTCAAAAATGACCTGTGTATAGTGTGACTTTTTTTTTTGTGTAAAAATCTGATTATAAAAACTTGCACTGTACTCAAGTCAGTTTTACAGTTATGTGTCCTTACTTAAAAATACCAAACATTAAGCTATTGATAACTCATAAAACACTTTTCTTAAAACATACTTTTCTATGATATATTAAATTAAAAGTAAGTAATATTTGTTTTTAATTCAGATTAATTAAAATTTAAATCACTTAATCTTCCTCAAATAAAATTTCAGAAAAGTATATTTTATTTTTGAAAGATTTCATAAAGAGAATTATGTTGCTGGCAGATTTGCCAATATGTCATTTTTTTTCATTTTTTGTGGAATGTGTGTTATATATATATATATATATATATATATATATATATATATATTTTAATTAAGAAAATTAATGAAATAATTCATTATGGTTATTTATTAATTACCACATTAATGGAATATTTATTATTTAGCAAAATTCAACTAAAATATTCCATTAATTTTTACATGAGTGCAGTATTTATATTGCAATAAAACTTCACTTATTTCAATTGTAATTGTTATCTTTTACTAATATGAATGTCATGTTGATTAGAATATTAATATTGTTCTTAAGGTTCATATTTTTTAATATTCTCCTTTTCTCTTCCCCCGGGTAAATTCTTCTCAGTGATTTAATATTTTGGGATGCAAACTAAGTAAAGAAAAATTTATAAAAAGTCAGTCTCTTAAAAATAAAAAAAAAATTGTGTTTAAATCTGGCAAAATTCAGTATAGAGTGAAATCATTATTCAGAAGATCCTCCATTGAGGATATAGGAAAAGGAAGAACTGAAAGTGATATAAAGATGTGGGTATGTTCCTGACAGCAAGGAAGTTACCAATTATTGGGTTGGTGCATAATTATCAGGTGTTTTATAAACAATATTTTATATGAAAAAAAGAAACACAACAATTCAACAATAACATTTTAAAATGATTATTCTGGAGCATATGATTATCGACACATTTTTATAAACTGAAATTAAAATAATATTTTTAATAAAAACAAGCAAAACAGCAATTTTTATTAATAAATAACTTGCCTACAAAAACGCCTGATAATTATGCACCAACCTAATATTATTATGATTATTATTATTATTGCTGTTGCTTTTGTTGTAATTATTTTTCTAATCTCTAAGCTAATACTGAAAACAAAGCATTTATTTTGGTTAACTAATATTTACATTTTTTCTTTGCTAATACACTTAATTCATTGATAAATATTTAAGCAATGAAAATTTTAAACCAAAATTCAATAAATAGCTACAGGTTTGGACATATTGATTCAGCCTTGGACTTTGTGCTGTACAACTGATTGTTTTGTTTGTGTTGATTTCACTTCATTTGTTTTGTCTGGTACAGGACCTTGATAGTGAATTGGTCTGTTGGATGAGCTTGTTATAATAAACAAAGCTTTATTCAGTATGGCAAAAGGCCACAATTCATTTTAACATGTTCATTTTAAGAAAAATTTAAATTATTTAAGTATTTGCTGCCATATATGGTCTGGAGCCCCTTCTGTTTGCCTTGGGGTTCTTGATAGGCTCCAGAGGTGGATATGCAATATAATTGGCCCTGATCTTTCATCTCGTCTACAGTCACTTTCTCACAGATGCACCATTGCCTCTCTCTGTCTGTTTTACAAATACTTTCATGGCAACTGCTCCGAGGAGCTGCATTCGCTGGTTCCCAGACTTCATGAGTTCAAGTGCCCTACAAGGCTGGCATCCTGCTCTCACCCCTTCACTGTCGAAACTCATAAATGTAGCCGTCTCTTCTACTCCTCTCGCCTGTGGAACTCCCTTCCCTATTCCAGTTTCCCTGAGAGCTATAATCTCCAGCTATTCAAATGTAATGTCAATTGACATCTCCAGTTGCCTTGATCTATCCACTACCCTTCTCCTCATCCTTTCTTCTATCACTCCTATCTGATCTTGCTCCAAATTTTCTGTAACCCCTTGTGTCCTAGTGGCTTCCCGCCTTACTTGGGGTGAAATGCTTAAAAAAAAAAAATTTAAAATATAGATTTATGAATATGTTATATATATATATATATATATATATATATATATATATATATATATATATATATATATAATAGAGATAAAAAAGAATTTAGACTAAAACAATTTTTAATTGAAGTTATCAAAGTGTGTCTTGTTCCTGGAATATAAAAGTTTGAAATACTGCCCCACCCACCGCCAAAGGTAGGACTAGTTATTTCTAATGATAATTATAATCGATTTTATATATTTAGAAAATTATAATTTACTAAACTATAAAGAGTTAAATTCTTTCAATAAAAAAGGACTTTTGGGAAACGATCCAAAGAAAGCTTAAAAAGAGATTGCAAAGATCACCAAAAATACTACTTTGATTCAACATTGACAATTCCCCCCCTTATTGAAGAGTGAGAGGGAGCTGCAATCCAAATTAAAAGTAAATAAAATTCAGAGGGATATTGTTAGGTGTACTGTAAACTGGTTAAAGTTGGAATACCATGCTTACCAAATGAGTATTATTGACTTGGGAGTAACAAACTCTATCCTACATATATTTCAAGGGCTATAATTTTGGAAGAAAAAAAAAATTTGGGTGAACCACTAAGCATAATCTAGCTGTATTGATTAGTTGTTACAGTATGAATATAGCCAAACTCTATGCCTAGTAGTAGTAGTACCAAGTATATATTGCTATAAAACTAATGAAAGGAGGAAATATGGTGGAGGTAAAAATAATAGGGAGAAAAGAATCCAAGTTGGGTTTTGTACTGAATATAACATCAATCAGCTAAATGAAAATGACAAATTTTATTTGTATTAATCTCTCTCTCATTATATATATATATATATATATATATATATATATATATATATATATATATATATATATATAATAAAAAAACATTTTTATCTATAATTTAAAAAAAGACATGCCCTCTTGGCTGGGATCTCAGAATATGCTGACTGCACCTCTGCAGAGGATTAAGAATTCCCCCCCTCAATAAATAGGTTTTGAGGAGTGTGGTACCACCTTTTAATTGCTGTTGTTCCCTGGACCACCCTGACCCAGTGTGGTAGCACCTGTTAGGGTCCCAGCTATGGGCAAATAGTTAACCCCCAAACTGGGGTCAAAATGCTATGAAAGTGTAAAAATAGATTTTTATAGTAAAAATGCCAGCAATACATTTTTTGAAAAAAATATTACCAGTAATAAGACTCTCAACAAAAATACAACAATGAAATCTGATCTACAAATGGATTTCTTACAAAGAATACATATTCTATTCTTACGAACATATCCTAAAAATCTTGCTAGCATTAAATAACCCATTGATGTTGATAGACTGTAAAACAAAATAAACCAAATCAAACCTAAAAAAAGACATGATTTATAATCACTTTGTGATTTAAACTCAGTCTTCCTGGTTTTTTAATCTTTGATTTCTTGTCCAAATTTAGACTTTACTTCTGTTAGCTGTTCTGATTTATATACCTCCCCTGACACATACTGCTAACTGGAGAAGTCTGCAACAGAGAAATTAATACGTTTTACTAAAAAGATATTTCTATATGTGGCTAGATTGAATATTTACATAAGCAGATCAATGTCAAATGCTGTGAAGACACAATTGTAAATGCTAAAAACATCTTTTATATAACTTCTGGGATTTTATATCTAAAAGCAATATTTAATGCTTCTTCTGAGAATATTATCAGTTCTAGCAGCTGAAATACTCATTTGTTCAATAAAAAATCTATATTAGCCTTCTGAAAAATTATCATTTTAGTTCTTTTCAAACTTGCTCATTACTAAAAGCAGATTTTTGCAGACCATCTGTAAATAGTTTTTGTTCCTTAAGGCTCCAAAGGATTCAATTGTGTATATTATTTTTCCCATAAAGCAATGCTACTGTGTAAAATTCCAGTTATCATTTCGAATCTTGAATTAGCCACTAAGTGATTTTTTTTTTTTTTTTTTTTAATTTTTTTTTCTAATGCTTGCTGAACTAATTAACTGATAGAAGTATTGGAAGTCATACTTTTTTTTCCACAATCTATGAGAAAGATGATATAAACTTCTATACAGTAAATTGAAATATTGTTTTCCTCACCTGACTCAAAAAAAAAAAAAAAAAAACTTAAAGAGAAAAAGTTAGGAAGGAGATTTAAATTCACTTCTTATTCCTGTATGAAATTTTACAGGTTTCATTATTCATTTAAGAAATCTTCATAAATGTTTAGAAGGTGAAGGAGTGACTTGGTTCAATAGAAGGATAATTGACTTCATTCTCTGTCCACAGACCAGTATTTGCATTCTCTTCATGGTTGTTTTTTAGTTTTTGTCTTTGATACTTTTTTTGTGTCTTAAAAGGGTTTTTAGAACAACTAGCAAATCTTACAATATGAATTCAGTTAAAAAAATAGTTTGTAATGCTTCTTTTTCTTTGTGATTGGTTTTAATGTTTTTTTGTTTTTTTTCCTTCTCTTTCTCTTGTCCAGCAAAGAAACAAAAGAATTCTGTCATTCATCCTAAAAGAAATTAATGCTTGGCACCGTCTTTTGGTTCAGTCTAACATTTTGGTGCCAAGTCTACAACTAAATCTCAATGGTAAGTAGAAAATTTTATACAAAGTTTGTCTAAAAAATACATGCTTATTTACTGAACTATTTATATTAGGATGAAACCATTTTGAACATACATCCTTCCATAAATGTAAAATAAATTTCTTGCATAATATTTGCTTTTTTTCTTTTGTCATTCCCCACCCATTCTTTCTTTCTTTTTTTTTTTTTTTTTTTCTTATACATTTATACACTCTGGCCAGAAAATCTGTGAAATGACTGATTTCATGTTGAAGATTATTGTGTACATCTAAGTAGACAGTAGATATCCTTCTAAAATGTCTTATTCTATGATTATGAGTTCAATTTTATAACTTTTAACTTTGATCCTTTTCTGTAATTGTAATGATGAAAAGCACCGTAAACAATTTTCTGGAAATACCTAAAAATTCTTTGCTTGTCAGAAGCAAACATTCTGATACTATTCAAATATCCTTCCAGATGCTGCAATGCCTTCTACAAAAAGTGAGAGGAAAAAAAAAACTGTCTATCATTATGACCTGAAACCTTATTAGGAATCCTAACACTTATGGCATAGCATGGAAATGAGCTGGAAAGTAAATGACAATTTCCAAGCATACTAAACAACAACTTGTAGTAACAGATGCTAGAGAACATCCATCAAGTAAATAATATGCAATGTGCCATGGACAGCAAGTATTGAAATCTTTTATTCATAAAATCTTGATCATTAACTCTCCGGTTGTACTAGTGCAAACTAAGCCAAAATTGTGTTTGCATAAATCAATCCCCAGATGCCATTTGACAGAGACGATCCTTAAACAGCAATCTAATTTACAGAATATGATCTGAACAGATGAAAAGTATTTCAATCTTAATGGGCCTGACTACTACAACTACCTCTGCTATGATTTTATAACAAGAAACACAGAAAAGGATTGCTCATAAAACTGGAAATGTGGTAGAAGGATTATGGTCTGGTATGCTTTTACTGGAAGTGGTCTAATCTGTCTAGTTATTGTAAACAGAAATTTGACAGCACTCCTGAGAAGCTTGATCCCAAAGCTACTAATAGAGAGAAAAGAAAAGTTGATCTTTCAGCAAGAACAATGAGAGTTGTTTTTCTGAAAAGACAATTGTTTTGATCATTTTTCATTTGTAATGAAGTGGCTTGCTTTGTCAGCCAACCTCAATCCCATAGAAAATATTTGAAGAATAAGGGCAAGTGATGTCTAGACTGGCAACATCCAATATTCCACTTTTTAGGGAATTGAAATAAGCTATTATTGATGCAATGGAGAAAATTCCTCAGTTTAGTTTTTAAAATGGCAACCTTGTTTCAGTTTGTCATTTCAGGTTTTGAAGGCAAAAGGGGCAGCCATAAAATAAATTTATTGACTTTTCTGCTGTATATATAATTATTGGATTTAGATTTTTCCTAAAAAATATTTCTTAAAAATGATGAATTCACAACTATGCAAAAAATATTTGAAAATCACTTTTATACATTTTACAAAAATCTGGGCTTTTAACTTACATAATTTCTAAATTGATATAAACAACATTCTTAATTCTTTTTTTATTTTTTTTTAGCTTTTTCATAAAATTGCAAAATAGTGTACAATGTGATCTTGAATGCATAGTACAACCACATGTCTATTTTTATATGTAAAAGCACATTTAATTTTAGTACATTTTCATTTTGGTACATGATCCAATCTCTAGTTTACTCTATAAAAAGTGGGAAACCACTTTCATTTTGCATAATGCATCTTATTAAGATGATTTTAAAATTAATTACAATCTGGCATGAAAAAGGATAATATAAATGAGTTTAAAAAAAAAAAAAAAAGGTGAGGATAAATATATTTTTCATCAAGTCAAGATCTAGAGTTTTGATTATACTGCTGTGGGTTCTCCAGTGACTGGGGTAGGTAGCAATTGGCTAGCTCTAACTCCTTTTGTTGAAGCATCCCTGTCAAGTGGGATAATGTGGCCAAGGCTTCACTCCCAGACATTCCTCCCAATGTAGTCCTTCCATATCTTCCTAGATCTCATTGACCAGGAACCCTGAACTCCAAGACAATCATGAAGCTCGTTGGACACGACCAAACCATCTAAGATGATGGGTGTGCAGCACTAATGTTGTATCCTCAATACTGAGCCTTGTTAACAACTCGGATGAGGGGTTTCATACTAAGGCTTGGTGCCACAGATCCAGCAAATCATTAAGTCGTTGTTGTGGTGGAGCAGTCATTGTGGTGGAGCTGCCGCAAGATCAATACACTTGGTGCCCAAGTCTCACTGCCATGGAGCAGTGCAGATCATCCACATGCAGAGAACAATTGTCATGAGTTCTCAACAATATGTGTTTGGGTGTGAGAATAGGTAGGAGCTTTTTGAATTTCCTCTAAGCCACAGAGTACCTGTTATAGTGGCGATCTCACAACCTCCACCTGTGTAGAGCATATCTCCAAGATCACAGAAACAGGGCTCAATATCTATTTTTGAACTGTCTAAAGTGATTTGGTTAGTGAGCTTGCCATCAATAGGGTGTGCTTTGTCGCACCTTCTAGGGCAGATGTAATCTGGTAGTTCTATTAGCCTACTGGTGATGCTACTTCATTTCTTGTGCATCCAGATGTTGCATTTGGTGCACATGATCAAATTCATACCCACTCCACTGTGGCAGACAGCACAGCGAAATGTGCCAGGTTTCTGTACCTTGTCCAGGTCAACACCAGAAATCATAAACTCTATCTTTTTCATGTTGACATGGAGCCCCTTGCTCTCCATGCCTGCCTTCCAGGTTTTCAGCTTGGTAACACATTTATCCAGAGTGTCAGCAATTAACACAAGGTTGTCACTCATGGTACACCAGTGCAGAACTAATGAGAGAGCGCATCCAACATGAGGACAAAGATTGTGGACTAAAGATTGAGACATGATGAACACCAACACTGAACTTCCTGCTATATTGGCCATTGACTCTAACTCGACTCTGGGTATTGCAGTACATGCCCTGAACCACACAAATAGCCCAATCCTTAACTCCAAGGCTTCTCATTACCCACCAGATAACCTTTCTTGGAACATGATCAAACACCTTCTTCAAATCCATAAAGGCAAGGTAAAATTTAAAAATTAAAAGTGCGTAGTAAATTTTTAAAATATAAAACTGTCCTAGATAAATTGTTTAGATGATTGAATTCATTCTTTTTTATAAACTACCAACTGTGTATAAAAAAGGTTGGAGAAGAGGTTAACCAAATGTAATGTTATAACAAAACTGAACTCATTTTTCCTGTTGTTTATTTGAACAACTCTTGGAATGATGATTTAAATCAAAAGTAGTATATTTACAGGCAGTATGGATCAAGTTTTATTTTGTTTAAAAGAAATCACATTAAGAAATTACAGATATAATAATTTAACTATGTTATCTTGAATAAGAGAAATGATGTAATTTTGATTGTAGTATAAGTAAAGAAAACACATTAGTTTCAGAAGTTTCTGTCTATAACAACCAAGGCTAAATTTTGACTTCTAAATTCATTTTCATTTTACATGTGAGAAATAGTAGTTTTAAATGTTTCATCTCTTAAATATGCAAGGTTTAATATTTGCTTTCAACCCAGTAAATCACTGTTAAACATTAATCATCTGTTGCAATATATATGTTAATGTTTTTTTTAATTTATACTCTTTTGTCCTAAAATTATTCTTCAAGGAATAAAACTTTATATATATTTAAGCTAAAAGTATCAGTAAATCAATGAGCAGTAAATTTTACTTTTTAACAAAAATCCATTGCATTTAACTCATTTGACATTGCTGCATTTGGCTTTTATTTTCACTCTAACTTTAATGAATGTATTTCATTAAAACCAAATTGTAAATAGGATTTCATAGACAAGAGAAAGGGTTGACTAAGGTTTGTATTTATCTTCAAAGACATGTATCTCTGTTTTAAGTTTTCTGAAAATACAACTGACACTGACAGGAATTATGTTGCTGACCAGTGTCATTTAAAGAGCCTTACACTTAATCTAATTAGGTTTTCCTAGTATCACTAAGCTCCTAATGCTAATCATTTTAATGCCTGGCATATTTAAGCCTTGTTCATTACAAGCACAAGTTTTTAAATAATATTGGTTCAGCTTCTGGATCTTTCTTCTCCCAACTTTATAAGAAAAACTAAATTCTTACCAGTCAGCCTTCCTGTTCTCTATTTTGGTTTTTACTAAGTTTTGTCAAGTACAAAAGTTTAACTCCCAACTATGGTCAATGATAAGAGTTTACTGGTTTTTGCTCTGTAGTGAGATTGGCCATGAAGTTGTAACTGAAAAATTTATTTCTCGTCTGCTTGCTGACTATTGATTTTTGTGCAAATCTTTATAATAAAGGCATGAACTCAATTTCCCTATATTCTATTGCACTGGTTATTTTAATGTAATTGCTTGATAAGATTTAGAATTTAAGAGTGTCTTTCTTGATAAAATCTCTGTTCAGATGTTAATCTAACTTAATGGGGGCATTTTCAATATAACTTTAATAATTCATACCTCTGCCCTCATTTTAGCTTTTTGTTCTCATAAAATTTCTCATAATTTATACAAATACAATAAATTTGTTAAGTTTTAAGAGAAAATCTTAAGTTGATTTACTTTTTTCATTTTGCTTATGATAGCTGATTCATCACTCATAAAATAAATTAATAAGGATTTTCATTTCAGTTGCTAATTTACAATTGTAGAATATCATTAACTCTTGAGTGTTTTGCTTTTCTTACAAAAAATGCATGTTGCACAATCTTAAATAGTTTCACCAATACTAGAAGTGTTGTCATTCTTATTACAAAACCTTGGAAAACTAATGATTTTCATTCTTGCAACAAAATGAGCCCAAATCTTTCCTTAAGTTCTGAACTCTGTAGGCAGCAGATTCAACTTTGAAAGAGAGACATTAACAACTAAAGCACTATTCAATCTGGCAGAAGGGATTTGCATTTTGATAAACTGACATTTGTTACATCAGTTTAAAACGTTTAGAATTGGCCATTTTCAAGATGACCTCAAATTTTCTCTCAAATATTGATAAATATGAGTAAGAAATAGTCAGCTGGTCAAAATTGATTTATTTTTCTTTTCTTTAAAAAAAAAAAACAAATACTCTAACATGTAAAGAAAGATAAATTTTATTTCCATAGTGACTACCTGTTCATTGTGAATTTGAAATCTAATTTGCTAAGTATACCATTATGTTATGAGTATGTTGATAGAGAAAAATCGAAATCTTTATAGTTTTTCCTGTCCTTGAGATCTAAAATATCAATTGTTTCCATGCCTATCTGGCATCATTGTCTTTTAATTGATTTGGCTTTTTTTGAAAGATGAATTTTCAATTGTGACTTTCTTGTTTCAGAACATCTTTGTTTCTTTCAAAGCAGTCAACCTTCAAACCAGCAGCAACAGCAAGATGGTAAAGATGACAACAAAAAGGACCCAGATAAAGGTCAGTAAACATTTTGAGTGTTCCAATATTTACACCTAGTGCATCTTGTCTTCTTTGTTGTTAACACACTATATAATGTATGTGTGTGAATTGGGATCAAGTATAGAATTGAATCCAACAGAATGATAGGATAAGAAACAGATAGGAAAACATTTATAAATTTAACATGTTTCACTTTTATTAAAGCTTGATCAGAAAGTGAAATATGGAGAAAAGAATTCTGGTATTTTTATTTTTGTGTTTGTTTTTCATTAGATAAGAAAACCTCACATGCCAAGCAGCATTCGTGTGTATATGAATCATAATTCTAGTTTGTCTATGTGAGTTTTGGATGATAGTATATAGTGTGGTGGTTTTTTGCATGTTGAGGACGTTTTTTGTGAGGGTGAAAGAATTTGTTACACTGGTTGCAGTTAGACACATCATGGATTCTTTAAGTATAGATTTTATAAAAGTTGGGGATATAATATGTGTTTATAGATAGCAAAATATTTATTAGAACTCCTAAGTATTTCCTGCATAATGAATTATGTTCTTTCATAATTAGGGTGGCATTTATAAAATTGAAATTATGGCCTGTTTTTGTTTCTGTGTATTACAAGCGAGTTTAAAGCGTTGTCCCAACATAGGTCTCTCTTATGTTTGTAGGTGCAGGCTTTTAGATTTCTAGATGTTACACCAATGTAGCTCTTCCTGCATCTGATGTAGTGTTGGATTTATATTTCTTACTAAAGCGAGATATATATATAAAATTGAATATTGCTGAGCTATGAAAGCTTTTTGTGGCTGAGCATGCCAGGCTAGGTGCTGATTCCCCCTGTAAGCAACTATGTTGGAAGGCACATATTTTTTATTAAGATTTTCAAATACACAGATGTAAATTTACAATGCTAAAAAAGGGGTGGGGGCTAATCAAATGTGTGTCCACTAAATATGAGAATTTTTAATACCATGCAATTATAATTTAAAAAAAAATAAAAATAAAAGACATTTGGTTGGGCAAAAATAAAACAAATTGGTATGGTAATAATTTTTTAAAAACTGTCAATATTTTTTACCAAAAAATAGAGAGTGGGAGAGCAGTTTATTAAAAAAAAAACTCATGATGTTAAGATGTTAAACACTTAAGAAAAATAATTTAAAGTGATAGATTTTAAACATTAAAGCAATTGCTTTCTTGTTAAAATGTAATACAAATCCCCTACAAAATGTTAAGTTCAGTCTTTTTAATACACCATTATTATTTGAAAAAAAGAAATAAGTGACATAAATAATTAAAAATGTCTAAAAAAAAAAACAAAAAAAAACACAATCTATGAATGCTAATAATATTCCAAAGCTAACTTTACCCAACTATTTCAGCAACAGTTCACTGGCATTTTGCCTGCTTACCTTCATGTTCAAAGTTCAAATTAGAATAGAATTAATTTAATATATATTTTTTTGGTTTGCTTTCATGTGATAAAACAAATCAAGAAACAAAAAAGTGACATTAGCTTTTATATAAGATTCTGATCAGAAAAAAATGCTTTATATTAGAAATTTAAGGACTTCTTTTTTTCTTGAACACTTTGTAGCAATTAGAGTTTATTAATGGTTTGAAATCAGCATATGTGATTCTGAATTCCTAGAAATTGAGCAGAAATGGATAGAATGAAATAAAACAATACTAATGAATTCAGAAATTGTCTATAATCTTTTGATAAAATGTACATACTATTTAAAAAATTATGAAAAAAAATTCAGATAAAATTAATTTACATAATTGAAACTTTTTTTTTTAAATGAAAACTTCTCTTCAAGGAGAATTAGATAATTTAACCAATATATTTTAAAATTGTAAGTGAATTAATATCCATACTTTAAAATCATTAACAGCAAAACTATATAGAGTTGTAAAATTTCATTTGAGGTGCTTATTATTAAAATATTGGGTTAAAGAGAGGAACTTTATTCTTTCAGATGATAAAATTCCAATGTTTCCTCGTATTTTTATTTGGTTGACTTTGTTATTTGCTGCCTACACTCTCCTACGTATGATGCAAGGGGCTGACTCAAATTTGTACAATTTCATCTCCTGGAATGAATTCTACCATGAGATGTTAGCCAAAGGTGAGGTAAGTCAGTCTGTTACATTCTACATTGGCCTTTTTTTCTTCAATATAAAGATGTTCCTTTCCGTAGAATAGTGGCTTTTACTTTACATCGACAGCAATTTTTCCTCCTCCCAATCTTGCTGTGCAATTTGGCTTCACTTCAAGATTCCTGGGTTTAGGAATTCTAGTAATTGTTTTTGGAACTTACCAATAAATAAATCCATGTGTACCTGGAAATATAGGTAACATATTTTTCTGTTTATTCACCAGATCCTTTTAAACAATTATCAGTTCTTGATCTTTGTTTATATGAGTTGTAGAAAAATTGTTTTCTGAAGATGGTTCAGATTGTGACTCCTGTAAACACCTCAAAATTGATTTCTCTCTCACAGCCCAGATGATTATATTAAGATTGATGCTGTTAAATCCTAAAATTGAGTTTGCTTACTTTTACTGCTGATTACTTAAACTTTGATGTTGGCTGGACAAAAAAGACAAGCTTGATTCGGAACATAGATACCTTTCCCTGAATTTCTTTTAAGAATGCAATTATTTATTTTTTATATTATCAGTTGGATTAAATATCATTTCTGATTAAATTTTATCTACAAAACTACACAATTGAGAATGTGTGTGTGTGTTTTTTAACTCTTTTTTTTGATGAAGACTATTTTTGTACTACCTACCTCATAGTCTTCTATGGACAATTGAGGGACTTAAAGGGTTTGCCAAAGGTAGGAAAAGTGCTTTCAGATCTACACTAAGGACATTAAGTGTTGTAACATAAATCCTTTGGCTTCATAGATTGAGTTTTCAAGACAGCCTGGAAAGCTGTGTGTGTCATAGCAACAAGTTAAATACAAACTGCATTTTAACAACAGAGGACTGAAAGGCATGCCCTACTGCCACAATGGGCAGCTGGCATTGTGCCAACACCTGTAGGTTAGTTTGCCTCTACAACCACAGAAAGTAGCACCAGTGCCAATGGTACTGACCTTGCCTATGCTCTACCTCCTTTCTCCCATATTGGAGCTAGTGTCCTCATTGAGCATGACAGACAGCTGAATGGTATGTTTTGTTCTTCCTCCTCTTTCTGATGAAGAGCGTTTTTTTTTTTTTTTTTTTTTTTGAAACAATGACAATTTTGAATTTTCTACTTGCAGGTACAAGAAGTCATTATTCGTCCTGAAGCTGAAATTGCTGTGATCCGCCTTTATGATGGAGCCATAATCAAGGGGAGACCTGTCAGTATCATCTTTCATTAATTATTCTTATTTCTTTATTTCATTAAGCTGACCATCCATCAGGATCATCATCATTATATTTGTAACATTAGCCTAATTGTCATTGTTGTTATTATTACTCATCATTAACCTAACTTTGTAGCATAAGTTAAAAAAAACCCAAATATCTGCTGCTATTACTTGTCAAAATAGTTGGTTTTGATTGACAAATTTAGTCTTTTGATGGTCAACTATTTAAACGTTTCAGTTTCCAGTTAACAAATTCTAAGATTAAGTTAAATATCCAATTCCAAAGCAATATAACCGAAGTGAGACATTAAATGGCATTTAGAAAGTGTCAAAAATTCTTAAAACTTTTAGTTTAATCTTTTCGTTGTTACAAAAATGTTACATTTTTGGAGATTGAAAATAAGAACCTATTCAAATGTAACAAGTAAAATTTCTTTGAAAATCATAATCATCATTATTAAAAATGGCATAAGCTGACTATTATGATTTGTTGGAAGATCCTGGGATACTCTTAAATAATTATTCTGATAATGCTGAGTTTATGCCTTTCTTACTTTTAAAGGTTTTACTATGAAGAATATGTTAATTGGGTTAAATGGAAATCTGAAGATAGTATGTTGATTAACTGTAAGAAGCAGATATTCTCACCTAATGATGTTGGTATCTCTTATTTTATGGAGTATGTGATTACATTGGCATTTTGAAGATAGACTCAGTCACAGGTTTTGTTTTTTTTTTTTTTTTTTTTTTTTTTTTTGTCAAGAACAGACAATAAAAATTTGACTGTCTTACTTTCTCAGAAAATGAGAGAGTGCTGAAAAATTCTCTTTTCAAAATCAATATTTCAAAATATCAAATGTCAAAATATTGAGGCAGGTGCACTGTCAGGCTATGGAATATCTTTTATACGGTGCTTTTGTAATTGTTATAGTGAAATTTAATGTTTCTTAAATTTGAATGTTTTTTTTTATTTTTCTTTCTTAAGACCTTTTGTATTTTTCTGATTCTCTTTATACAATTTGAATTCATGATTTTACAAATTATTGATTTACTTTTAATCCTGGGTAAATAGGTCTTTCCATCAGTGTAAACAAATTCAGTTTTCAATTTTTTTGAGAAATGGTTTTATGAATGTATTTTTGATTTTCTTACTCAAAACAGGTGACTTTACCTGTGTTCACAATGAAAATCCCAGATCCATACCATTTTGAAGAGAAGATCCGAAAAGCTGAAGAAGAACTGTGTATTAGAAATGCTGACAAAATCTCTGTGTCTTATCATCGAGATAGGTAAGAAAATACTATAAGGAAAACCATATGAGAAAACTATTTAAAAACTCTCAACATAATGTCTTACCTTGGAGAAATAGGTTTATACCAAAACATGACTATCTACAAACTATATACCTATGTTTATCCTGAAAGTATAAAAATATATACAAAATATCTCTAGTTGAAGTCATAAAATTGTAGACAAGATATTTAATTTTGGCATTAAATAACACAGTAAAGGTTGATATGCTGCTAAACAATCAACAGGTAAGAAAATGTTTACTTACTTTGGTGATTAGGATTCATTAGATTTTCTGAAACAAAATTTTTAACAAAACAATTCTTTTAAGTACAAAATCACTTTCCCATGTGTTTCTATCTTTGGAAATTTATTTATTCTTTCTTTGCTAGTTCATGGACTCCATTGATTTTCATGGGGATTATAGCTTTGGCTGTTTTCATGTTGGCACGAAGTATGACCAAAGTATCTTTACCAAATCCAACCGAAATGTTTGTAAGTGACATTCTTTTTTTTTTTTTTGTTCCTTTTCTCTCAATCCCTATTGGTGCAACTCTATTTTCTGTCAAGTTTCTGAGTAATGCTATCATAAAGTCATACAATACCCAATGTAATGGAGTGGTTATAAAACGTTTTCAGTCAGTGTCACCTCAGCTTCATCAGTCTTTAGCACTGATAATATCCCATCTGAATGAAAGAGAAATGAATGTGTACAATTTTGAACCAGATGATGGAACATATCTTCTGAAATGATACAAAAATTTGATTATCTATTTTTTGTTACCTAACTTTAGTTTTAATTTAGATAAATCATTTATTAAGAGACACTTTTTGTAAACTTTTATTTATTTGTCAGGTGGCATTTTTGAAGATGTTGTTTGGCTGTGTGTGACCCTATCTGATGCAGAATTCAAAGGCTATTTTTTAAAGCTGATATTTGACAAATATTAGGAATAGAAAAGGTTACATGTGTATCCAGTAGGTTGCAAGTTTGTATGTTCTTATTGAATAATTTATTTAGGATTCCCACAAAGTTGATAATCTATTTTTCATTATTTATTTCTAACAAAACTATACTGATGATAGAAATTAAGGAGGATTTGAGATAATTATAATTAAGTAATTGCTGATGAGTCCCAAATATAGGATGAAATGGCCATCCAGTGCTTTCTGCATTCTGTTGAGGTTTCTTCTAGACTCGATGAATTACTTAATTATAAAACTATACTGTTATTATAACCTCCAAGATTAATTTCCTTTTAAGACAAAGTTGGAAATGCCTATGATATTTTGGCCATTTCAAGAGTTGTCTTGAACTGTTAAGCTGTTTTTTTTTTTTGTTTTTTTTTTTTTTTTTTTGTTGTTCAGGTTCAGGGGGATTAGTGCTGATAAGTACCGATGTTTAATCATTTGATCAAATTTTGGGGAGTAGGCTGGGCTAAGAACCTTTCAATCATAGTTTTTGTTTAATTTATTTAAACATTTAACATCCAAATCCTGCATAATTTACCAAGAATATTTGAGATCCATTTTCTTTTTTTCACATTGAGTTACAAGGTTCTTTTAACTCTAGTTACAGGAGCTTGTTTATGACATTATATTGCTGAATTGATCCTAACAAAATCTAGACAAACCATTTGAAATGAATTGGTTCATAGCAAAATATTACACCACCTATATTTTTTTAAATCCAACTTTCAAAGTTTTGCACCATTTTAATAAATATTTCTATTTCTTATTTCAGGCAAGTGAACGCAAAGCTAGATTTGTGAGAGTAGACACTTTGGGACAGAAAGGTAAAGGAATCAGTTTCAAAGATGTGGCTGGTCTCAAAGAGGCCAAAATGGAAGTGATGGAATTTGTAGACTACCTCAAAACACCCAAGAGATTCAAAGTTAGTTTTATTCTTCCTAAATTTAAAACAACCAATGTTTGAATTGTTCACATTTCAGGAAACATATTTCTTAAACTCTGAGCTTCAAAATTATTTGACATAAAAGAAGAAACATCAAGTTTTGTCAACAATTGCTACTTGCCTTGTCTGCTGATCATTTTGGAATGTCATTTAAATAATTTTGTTGAGTTGGAACTTTGGTTGTCAAAGAATTGAATTAATCAACCTAAACAATTGTAGACTTTTTTTACCTTCATAATCAGTAAAAAATACAGAATCCTTGGATTCTTAGATTTCATGGTTCAAAGCCAATCTTTAATGTTGTTCATAAAACCTTGAGAGTATATCTGAGATTCCATGATTGTAACCATCATGATTAATTAAGAAAATCAAATAAGTACAAGATACAAATTGGTTTGAGATTCTAAAATGTATGAAGATGAGTTATATGCTTTCTCAGTTTAGCCTGGAAGCTGCAATTTGTTATAAACAAGTAGTAGTGTTAGAATGGATAAGTTCAAAAGGTTGCCAGAAGAATTTTATCAACAAATAGAAAATCAGTAAAACATAAAAAACGAAAAAAATAGGGAAACATAAAAAGTTAAAAAACAAAACAAAAAAAAACCCAACTTTATTTGAACACAAATCCTTGAATCACGTGTATCAGAGAAATGGAATTTATTTAACTACCTCAGATAATTTTTGTTTGGTCAGTGTAATTAAATTCATTTCATTTCTTTTGAATTCCTCCAATAGAAATGTTTTCTTTTATTGCAAAGTTGATGAAATGTAAAATGCTATTTTTAATATTTGTTCTACTAGGGATTTACCCAAATGTTTCTGATTTTATTTATTTAGTTAGTTTTTTTATTAGTAGAATTATTTTGACTTGAAAGTGGAAACAATCTTTTTAAGTTTATTCCTAAGTCCAGAACAGTGAGTAATGACAAATTTCAAATGCTTTTTTTATTTTTAATAATTTTTTTTGCAAAAAAACAATTCCAACATTGAAAACTCACTTGACTTGAATGATAAAAAAGGGATCCATAGTTTTTATTAGTTGTTGAATCACTATAATGAGAAACCTATTAATGTTCTTAGGGGCACCACAGTTGCAGTAACAGTGGTGTTTCCTGGCCAAAATAGCCTGGGTTTAGAAGAGATGGATTCATACCTTTCCCAAGGCTCTTAGCATGTCAGTGGATGTAATGAACTTGACTGGAATTCAAACTTTGCTCTCCACTTCCTCAGTCTGAGCCACTATCCATTACTTCACCGTGCCTCCACAAATTGTTGTTGAATAGAGGGAGGTAATCGTAATATTTGTAACTTAATAAGTCATAAAAATTCCTTAAAATTAATATTTAGCATATTTAACATCAAAATCAAAGAAATGTTGAATCTCTTTTAAAACCTTTTTTATTTATTTGTAATTTTATATATATTGTTGTTAATTAACTTTTCTCACATTGGCACAGATTTCCACTTGTGAGCTGAGTCTAAAAAAAATAACTGAAATATATATTTTATTTTTTTTCATCTGCAAAATCTATAGCATCTGCATCCTATCTTCCCTAGATTTTGTTTATTATTGTAAAAACTTTTTTCTTTGTGTATATTTGCTTAGGATCTTGGAGGTAAAATTCCAAAAGGAGCACTTTTATTGGGACCACCAGGCTGTGGTAAAACATTGCTGGCTCGGGCTGTAGCTACAGAAGCAAATGTTCCATTTTTGGCAATGGCAGGATCAGAATTTGTGGAAGTACTTGGTGGTAAACTTCTTTCATATATATATATATATATATATATGTGTGTGTGTGTCTATGGTATGTATGTATGTATGTAATGTAATGTAATGTTAAGAATTGTTGGAGTCAGGTACTTTGTGAAGCAGTACAAGAAACCGACCATTTTTCCAGTGACTTTCAAAGTAATTTAATATTTTTCTTTTCTCCTGGACATTTTATTGTTTGGTTATTAGTTTGTAGGATCAAATATGTATCCTATATCTTCATCTATTCAGACCATACATGTAAAATTACATTTGAATGATTTCATCATTTAACATTCAATGCTCAACCAAGCCCAAAAAGATAAAAAAAATCTTTAATCTGAATTCACTTATTCAAACACTGATGACTTCATGTCAAATATTACAAGATCTTGAAAAGCTGTCAGATCGACCAAAATGGGTTTCTAAAACAGATTCTGATATTTTGTTATCTGGCCAGATTTTGAAAAGTGTGTGGGCTGGAAACTTTTTAGCACTGACCTCCTGTTATTAATATTATCATTATTATTATTATTGTTACTATACTTGTTGCTGATATATACATCATAGTGTGGACATTTACATAATACACACACACACACACACATTCTTTTATTATTTACCCATTAACAGACTGTTTCACACAGTGCAAATTTTCAAAATGAGCTTATGATATTCTTTGATGCACCCAAGTTCTTTTGGACATTTTTCAATAGGGGTGCCTCAGCATACCAACAGTTGAAAGTAATTCATTTTGTTTATGCACTTGAATTCTACAATTTTCAGCTTCTCCTCCATACATAGATTGTAATTTCATCTTCTGGATAACAAACCCCATTTTTCATTTATCCACACACACACAATGATAAAATATAGTTTTAAGGTATGCTATATTGATGGATTAAACTGGGATAGAGTGTATGTAAATATAAAAGTGGAGATTGAATTTGGCACACACAGGCAACAGTCTTTCATGCTTGAATGCAATTGTCATGGCCTGATGATTCTGTCCAATTTGGGGAGGGGATTGGTTTTTAATATCACCTTTCTTTTTATTTACTTATATATAAGAAAATTAAGAATCAACTTTCAACTTGTTTTTAAATGCCTTTTTTTATTTTACTTTTAAAAATGTTCAAAAATCACTCCACTGAATTGGAGAATATTACTAACTTGAGTGAAAGTCAAGAACAATTTTAAAATGAAAGGTTGAATTTTTATAGAAAAAAAGTTTATGCTGTCAATGATTTTTGGACTCACTGGAAAGTTCAATGTTAACATTTACTTTTTGAATGTTGCAGGTCTTGGAGCAGCTCGTGTCAGAGATCTTTTCAAAGAAGCTCGTAAAAAAGCCCCTTGTATTATTTATATTGATGAGATTGATGCCATTGGACGCAAGAGAGGTGGCAGGTATATATGATTTTATAGCCATTCCCAGCACAAATATTGGGCTGAGAGGTTGTAACATTTTTTCTCCTTCAATTTTGTTTATTCTAAAAGTCACATTTTAATAAAGTCTGTTTGTGGAAAAATTGCTTGAATGCAAAATTTTACTTGTACTAAAAACCCTCATACAACAAGGATCTTCTGAGATATTCATCCTTTTGATGTATTGTATCTTGAAACAAAAGACCAACTCTCTCCAAGACTTGATACAAATGACAGATATCAACACTAAACACTTTGTACTTTTAAAATAATATCTAGGTTTTAATATCTTCAACCCTTCAGAGTCAGGATGAGTTTGTCTTGACTTCAAGCAAGACAAGACACAAAACTGAAGCAGCTGTGTCTGATCCCTGAAAGTTCCAAACCTATCATCCATTGCACTAAAAATGTGTGGTTGAAATTATACCAACACTTTTTCAGCACAAGCTTCAGAAACTGGGCAGCTTTTGCCTCTACATTAAGCCCTAATCTTTGTGATATTTGCAATTGTGAAGGAGACAAATAAATGCCATGATTAACAAGGTGTCCATCCATTCAAGATACTGAAAAAAATCAGACCAAATTTTTATTTAATATACATAAATTCATTTTTCCAGTTTTCCTGGAAACAAAACAAAAACACCTGAAACAAAGAAAAAAAAAAATAGTTCGATTTTTATAAGCTCACCATCTGATTCTCTCTACATTCTATCAAAAATGATAAAGATTTTAATGAATTTCAGATTTAATATTTGCCAGTGAAAGTTTAAATAGATAAATTCACTGGTATCAAGATATTTGCTTTATTAAAATGCATGCACCCTATCCTTCTTGAAGTCCTTGTCACCAATAGTTGTTTTATCTTTTCACTGGTACATTTCTTTTGTAGGCAAAAAGATTAGAGATATTGAGCCATTGAAACATTGATTTAAGTCAATTAAGTTATAATTCAATAGTTTCATCTTTGCAAATAAAGTAAGTTTTGTTCAGAGGTTCCAATAAGCCCCAAAATTCAATTCATTTGTGAACTTATCAAACCAAAATTTGCTTGTTCACACTCTCTCTTATATACAGGTGTATATTATTATTGAAAAGTTATTAGTTTAACCTCCTTCCCAAATTATGACCAAAACTTTGGGTTAAAATCCCCTCTTTGTTAGGCTAAGAACTTCTTAGTTCTCTCGTTCTCTCTCTCTCTCACAAGGGATTTTAAACCCAAAGTTGTGTGTGTGTGTATATATATATATATATATATATATATGCATGCATAATTTTATAATAATCCTTTCTAGTTCTCTAATTATCTTAACTTGATATCAAGAATATAGAGATCTAGAAAGGATTATTATAAAAATAAATAGACATATTATGTCTATATTATTTAATGAAACATGCTTGAATGATGATATGCTGCCTAAATAAATATAATTTTGTATGTTTTGCAAATCATTTTTGTGTGTGCATGAGAATGTTGGACTGTTAAAAATGTAAGACAACTTGGTCATTTATTGTGAACAAAATAATTTTCTTTTTTTCTTCTCTCTTTTCAGCCAGGCTGGAATGAATGCAGAGGAAGAACACACATTGAACCAATTGCTGGTTGAAATGGATGGTATGGGCACACAAGAAGGAGTAATTATGATTGCAGCTACAAACAGGGCAGACATTTTGGACAAGGTTACATCACTATATCCTTTTTTTTCTGATTCATCATATTGTTCTCTTTGCTTGCTGCTATTCTTTCTCTTTGTTGTCATCTCTTTTCTTCCTCAATCATTTTCTCCCTCATATATTTGTCTTTGTAATTTGAATTTACTGTAAACTTTTTTTTTTTTTTTTTTTTTTTTTGTGGGCATGTGTTACTTTCTCACCTGTCTTAATTACAGGCACTCCTTCGTCCTGGCCGTTTTGATAGGCACATCACCATTGATCTCCCCACAATGATAGAACGACAAGAAATCTTTGAAATGTACCTCAAGAAATTGAAATTGGCATTGGAACCAGATACCTATTCCTCCAAATTAGCTCAGCTCACCCCAGGAATGAGTGGTATATATCTTCATTTTTTATCTTTGGTCAATAATTCATTGGCTGTAAACATACCTCATATCCCCCCTCCTCTGAATCAAACATTCTTTTAATTTATTTTTATGTCATATGTTTAGTTAAACTTTCTTATTCTATAATTATTTATAAAATGGTAAATAATAAAGATTGTATTGTAGATGGTTTACTTATGTTGATAATTTTGTAATCTTTTAAAAAGAATTTGAGTAAAATTTATTTCTTTATAAAATGGTAAATAATAAATTTCACATTGTACTTGCTTCACATATTTTCATAATCCTGTAAATAAACATTGCCAAAGGAGTCAGAAGTGTATACAGTAATTGGTGTTTTTAGAAAACAACGAAGATGGAAATGGCTTTGAAAGCCTTGCTCGTAATTCATTTTGTTTCCAAAGAGGATGGAAATATGAGCACTCGATCACTTGTTTCTCCATCAAATGTTGATCAACTTCAAATATTGAACTTTCTCTCTCTCTCCCCACCTTATAGACTATTAATTGCAACCTGCCTGCCTGATTTGGTAATTGCAATGGCTATTTTAGTTTCTTGTGGTCTTTTCATTTCAGGTGCTGACATTGCTAACATTTGCAATGAAGCTGCTTTATGTGCAGCCAGATTTGGCAAAAATCAAGTCGATAAAGAGGACTTTGAATATGCAGTTGAAAGGGTTGTAGCAGGTAAGAATGTTGCCTTCTGCTAGACTTGACATTACTGCCTCTCAAGTTTTGCTCCTCATTCAACAGTACTTGTCATACCTTATAGTATCAATTTTATTGCATTCTCAGTGTAGCCTTGTGCCAGATTAACCATTATTGAATCAATCAAAATATTTTGTGACATTTTGACTGCACAATTTCCAGTGATTGTCTTAGTTTCTCACGTTTTTAGGTGTGGCCAAAAAGAGTCGCCTCTTGTCTCCAACTGAAAAGAAAGTGGTAGCATATCATGAGTCCGGCCATGCTTTAGTGGGTTGGCTTCTCAAATACACGGACGCCCTTCTCCGGGTAAGTCTCACCTTGCAGCATTCACATTTGTCCTCTTTGCATTTGTTGGGAAAAGAATTCTGTTTTTTATGATGTTCATCAAGTAAATCTAGAATGACACTCGATCCAAAACTGTTTTTCTTTGTCAATTTGAATTCTCTAAAGAATGTTTTAGATTGACTTCATGTTTTGTCTTTCCTTTCATTTCTGTTAGGAAAGGCGATTTTTTTTTTTTTAAACATGAAAGAAAACTAGTTTAAAAAACAAAAAAAAAAAACTTACATTTAAGAAAATTACAGGAAACTATTTTATGGCTACAGAATTTAGACACTGATCAATACAATGAGTAATATTTAAAAAGGAAGAATCTTTTCCAGTATCATAGGATTTGTTGTTGATGATAATAAAGGTAGAACAACATATCTCATTTCACACACACACACGATTGGCCAAGGCTGATGGGTAGGTGAAGGGTGTTTTTATAGTTGCCTTCTCTAGACTGTTGGCTAGAAAGACCCATCTTCTCTGCTATTTAACCTAGAGATGGGTGAAAGTACATTTATACTTTTCCCATTAGTATTTGTGCTAAAGTGAATATAATGAACTCTGCTTGCCAATTTCTCTTTCTAAGCCACTAACCATTCACACAGGCAATTCTATGAAATCTGTTGACTTATTTTTATTTTCTGTCTCCTTTTCTCCAGATCTCAATTGTTCCTCGAACAAACAGTGCACTGGGATTTGTCCAGTACTTGCCTTCTGACCAGAAACTTTATTCAATTGAACAGGTAAGTACTTAATCCATTAACTTTCGTCTCATAATTTCAGGGGTCATGCAGTTGGCTAGATTTAAGATGTAGGGTATGTTAGTGGCTTAAGTACAAAAAAAAAAAAAAATCTAATTTCTAACTGCAATATCAGATAATGATCTATTACCTCTTCCCAAATACTTTTTTTCTCACACTCCAACCTGAAGATATCTGCCATAAAGAGCTGAAATGTATAGTTCATCGCTTCTTAAACTATGGGTCACGATCTGAAATGCTGGGGGGTTGCAAAAATTAAACTCAAACATTTGAATTCACTGAGGAAATTGAGTAACTCAAACTTGAAACTTTACAAAAATCTTAGACTGAAATCGTACGACAAGTTCTTTTGTCATTTAGCACTGCATAACTATGTGAAAGCTTTAACCCTTATTAAAGCTGAAAAACATAGATGTTATGTCCAGCAGTGTTAAATATACCAAAGTTTAATTTATGCAGTGAAAAACAAGCACGTCCTTCATTGATTTTTACTTTTGATTTATTTTTTTTTGTACTTGAAACAAATCTTAAAACTATTTTTTTTATATGTATATTGTTACAAATAAATACACAAGTCATTAATTTTTTTTTATGTTTTATATACCTGATGTTGCAAAAAAATTCTTGATTTTAAAAAAAAAAAAAAAAATGCTGGTGTAGTTGAATAGCTTATTCATTTCTCTTTTAGTTATATTAAAGGATTTGTTTCAGTAGGCATTTCTGTTTATCTTTTATATTTCAGTTGTTTGAAAGGATGTGCATGGCATTGGGGGGTAGAGTTGCAGAGGCAATTACCTTTAATCACGTGACCACAGGTAACTGCAAGAGTTTAGTTTCTTAAATTTTGAATTTTCTTTTAAGGAATTTGATTGGAAGTCATTATGGCAACTAAATTTCCATATTTTTCATGCATTAAATTAAATAATTGTATCACTTTAAATGTTTACTCCTTTCTACCTTTTTGTCAGGTGCTGAAGATGATTTGAAAAAAGTGACAAAAATGGCATATGACCAGATTCGGACATATGGCATGAATAAACGCATTGGTCATTTGTCTTTTCTTGAGAATCAAAACATGTCTGGCTACAAACCCTACAGTAAACATTTGGCTTCCATTATTGATGAGGTAAGTTCCATTTTTGAAAAAACTGACATCTTGAAATGTATTTAACACACAAATCAGTATTGAAATGTTTTTTTATATACTTAAATATTTCTTAATTTTGTTTTAAGCCAGTTTACTGAACAATGAAATGGCTGTCATCTTTTTAAGGCTTGTCAGTGTAACAATTCCTTGTTGGCTTTCTTTTGAACATAATTTGTTTTAAGACTGATTTTTGTTGGGGGGGGGCATTCAATAATACTTGGGGCAGGGATTGTTCTATAGATCCTAGTTTCATTTCTTTTGAATTGTTGCAGAAACTTTTTTAAGTCAAATTTTCCACTTTTTATTTGTAGGAAGCCAGAACTCTTGTGAGCAATGCCTATAGACACACTGAAAGTGTTCTTTTGAATAATAGGGATAAACTTCAATTGGTGAGTATGTTTCTGTTAATTTTTTTTTCTTGTAACAGAATTTTGAAAACCTAATCCATTAACCATTTTGGTTAGTATGAGAATGGGCTCTGGTGACATCAGACCCATAGTTTGTGAAAGAAAATACCCATTTACATAAACCTTGTTAAGAAATTTTGTAATCAGTGCTTTCATTTTGCCTTTCAGTTGGCCACTACATTGCTGGAGAAGGAAGTTCTGACCTATGAAGACATTGAACAGCTGATTGGTCCCCCACCTCATGGTCAGAAGAATGTTATAGAACCAGTGGGTTGGGAAGGCATTTCTCCACCAAGTGATGACACGCCTACAACCAAAAGACGTCGAAATGGAAAGCGACAGTCTCGTCACTAGGGGACAAAGGAAAAAAAAAAACCTGACAACAGATGTTAAGCAGAAATCAAGCACCCCTACCCACAATCTAAGTCTTTCAAAGAAATTGTCCAAGCTGAGATTTTATTGAATGGTAGAAATGGAAGCATTGGAAACTAGATCTTCACCATTTATCATCCATATTTTTATAAGCAGCAGTGACTGACTCAAGCTAGACTTACCTGTTTCTGTACTAATGGATCAGACAGGATTTTTTTTTTTTTGCATGTGTGTAATAGATGAAGAAACTGTTATAAAGAAAGCTATCTTTGCTCTGCTGTGATAGTCATTAACATTAAATGCTATGGTTCATCCATAGGAAAACTTAATTGGCTCTGTTGAAATTATTCAAAGATTTTCCTATCAGACATTAATCTCAATAGGAATATTAAGACACATGTTGTCAATATTGAACTTTAGAAATAATCAAGTGAGGATATTTAGGGGGGGGGAGATTTCTTGAAATTTTCTAATTTTGCAAAGAAACTAACAATTGAAACAAAGCTTATCTTTTCCAAATTTGTAGACACTATCATTTCTAATATTAAGACTCCTCACAACTGAACACAATTCAACCATGATTCAAGTTAGTTTCCATTTACAACCACATTAGAAAAATATTATATTGCTATCTTAGAACTACTCAGTCATTTAAGATTTCGATTTTTAGTTAAAAAATCGACCATCATGTGCTGTCATCCTTAAAGGAGCTTTATATTCAAATAAGCTATGGGTGAGTTTGGGTTTAAGTACTTTAAACTAAATATAATTAAAGTCCAATTTTTCTTTTCTTTGGGGAGGGATAAATTTAAAAGAAAATGATCAAAAATTCAATACAAAAGCAAATAAGTTTGATGTCAACACAGGTTGAAATGAGAAAATACTAATCAGTCAGCTGCTGCAATCCTTTGGTTCTTTTGTGGGTTAGTAAGAATTTGAATTAAAGTTAGCCTAATTAAAAGAAAAAAAAAAAAATGAAATTAATAGAAACATTTAGAAATGAAATAACTGTCTTCTATTCAAAAAATAGATATTTATTACTTTCAGCACAAAATGCAGTCTCCACATTACAATTGAAGAGTGAATTCAATCACTCATGTTCTGTGAAACATCTGTATTTTACTTAAATGTGAAAAACTTTGCCAACATGTTAAAAATTGGTAAATCTGTAGCAAAAGTTTATTTCTTTTTATGAGACCAAATTAAGTTATAGAACATTGAAAACTTTAATTATAACCAAGGTTTGCAAAGCAAGTTTATTTCTCACTTATGTCCAGACACTGTTAGACTAAGTGAAAAAATGTGTTCCCTTTATTAAAAAATAAAATTTGAATGGGAGAAAGAATTTGATTTCTGGATTTGATTTTTATGCAAACCAAACAATTGCTGAACAATTTACTGTTAAATGAAACAGTTGTGCTTCAAATACCCAAATCCTGTTATTAACATAATATCTTCCTTTTGCTGGTTCAGGATGTGTGAACAATGCCAGTTGTAATTAAAACCATCTCCAATTATTTTTTTTTTCTTGCCTTACAATATTTAATTCATTGCAGACGTTTTTGCCTTTACAGATAAAAGGCTGTAGAATATATTGGCTGAAAATGGTAACAATGAAGTTTATTTGTTCATTGAAAGCTTAGAAAGTGTCACAAGAGAAATTACAAAAAGCAACAAAACCATTTGAAATATTTTCAGTAATAAACCTTATGAAGATTTAGGTCAAAGATGGGGCTAAGGATACCCACTAAAATTTTAGTTACGTGCCTGTCCTGCAGAAGTAAGCTTTACTAGGTGACTAAGTGAAAGGCAGGACACAAAGGAATTAAATAGGCTTGATGACAGTTGTCGTCAAGCCTAATTACAATTACTAATGTAGAGAGTAACTGAGCACCTGTGGTATACTCAACTTGGCTTATATCTAAGTGTCTTAAATCTTACCTGGTACCTGTCCCTCCCCATTTAGTTTAATCCCTCTTCATGCCATGCACAAATGTCAAAGAACCTCATACAAAAAAATAAATTTCCTAAGGCCTTATTTGTGCAATGACTATTTACATCATGGCACGCTTTCAAGTTCTGTTAGATAAGAGCAAAAAATAAATTTCACTAGAACCTATTTGCATACTTTTTTTTTTTTGGCAGATTTTCTACATCACTGAGCAAAAAAGTCATGTCAGTATTAAAACCCACATTAAACAAATTATTTTAGGTGTGATTGTTTCTATACCTCACAAGGACAGCTGGAGAAAAAAAAAAAAAAAAAGAAAAGTTTTCTTAATCTTTTCTCACTGTACATAAGACAAAAGATCAAAACATAAAAGAACATTTATTTTGCCTTATTTTATTTTTTTTCCTTATTTTTTATTTTTATAGAAAGTTCAAATGTTTTATTAGCTGGGAGGGGAGGGAGGGGCCCAGTCTGTGCAGATGTGTTTTTGTTTTGTGGAAAGAGGACATTGCATTGAGGGAAGGAGATCACTACAACTGACAACAGAATATCTGGAAGAATGTATGTGTATATTATACATACATCGTCATTCATATCCACTGACTGGATTTGATAAAGAGAAGATGCGCAAATAGGAATGAGAAACAGAAAAATTAAGTGGCAAATTTAGGCACCGTCTCAGTCTCTCGCTCACACACAAATTGATATTTAGAAGTAAAACTAAAAAGCAGATAGTGGGAAAAATCTTTTTCAGGAATGTAAAGATTTCAGAAACCTTTCCATTTTGGGGGAAATATCTACACTGCAATGAGGCTTTTGCAGCAGTTTAAAAATAAAAAAAATAAAAATAAAGCACAGACATGCAAAAGAACTGAATATTACAGATTATGCTGTCGGCTTTGTGGCAAAAAAAAAAGAGTATGTGTGTGTGTGCAAATACTCATTCAAAGTTTAAGAATGGAAAGTATTTGAACTGGCATTAGCAGAAGATTAGGAATTGGGCCATTTTTCTCTTTCATAAAAAAGAAATTCAATTTCACATTTGGCTGAAATAATGTTAGTTTTCCTTTAAGGAAAAAACTCAAACAAAGAGAGAACAGGTTGATTGGTTTCTGATGTAAAAAGCTAAAGTTTGGATTTTGTAGTTTATTTTATTTTATTTTTTGTCTGCTGTCCTCACGGGTGTGGCAGTGCTGAAAACAATGACGTCATTGCCAATAGTGACAGTCGGGCCAGTTCATTAAGTTTTTTTTTCTCCATTCCCCCCCCTCTTTGTGTCTCTTGTAGAGCAACAAACAGCTGACCAACTGGCCAGGACTGGACAGACAAAAGTGGTGGCCAACTGATGTTTTAAGTGTCCACACAGTGGAACATGTCTTACACAGTTGGAGCTGGTATGAGAGAAAGCTGCCAACTCTCTCCTTAACTAGATTTCCAAGAAATCCTTTAAAAGTGTCAGTCGCCTCTTCTCTGCCACATCCATCTGATTTTCCAAATCCTAAGAAAAAAAATAAAAAAATACAAGTAAAACTTAATACTGCAGTATTTTTTTAAAATTAGAAATTTAAGAGAATTAAATTGAAACATTTTGCATTGATTCTAAAAACATTTCCAAAATAAAATTTGGTTAAAAAAAAAAAAAAAAAAAAAAATATTAACTTACACCTCGGTCCGTTATTTCTGCTCTTTCAATTTTCCAAGACAAATTCTCCACTTCTGCTTCTAATTGAGCTTGTTGATATTCAAACTAGGAGCGAGAAAAAAGAAAAGTGAAACAGAAGATTAAACAAACTCAGCAATCACTAATCCCCTATGAAGCTTGCTTCCCCATCGCTATTATATGTCTCCAATAATTGGATCATGTTTTTGTTGAACATTTTCTAAGAGATCAGACAATCATACAATCTCCAGTTTTAAAATTAAAAATTAGATCAACTTTTGTAATATTAATTGACGGTTTTTTTTTTTTTTATTCCAATTTGAGTTTTCAATTACTACAGAAAAAGAAATTGAGAAGTTAGCAAAGACCTGGGCTTTCTTCTTGAGCAAAGCTCAATGGATCAAACAATTTAATTTTAAACAAATGTTCTTAAATATTTTAATGTAAAGGGAGATAAAAATTTTGACTTACCAACTGTTTTCTGGCCCCTTTCTCCATGTAATAAGCGTATGGGTAAGTGTATTGCAGTGTATAACGACACTGAAAGAAAGAAAAGAGTTAAGTCATTGGATTTTATTTCTGTACTTGCAATTCTATCAAACCAACAACAAAAAATAAAAGGACATTGTTGACATTAGGATGTAGACATCATTTCATAAGTTTTTGCTTCTTCAAATCCTCAAGGAAACCAATATAATAGAATATAGAACCTAATATAATCATGGAAACTTGCATAATCTAGCAGAATTCAGTTCTTCAATAAAGATTAAGACTTTTCCCCACTGACAATTGGCCTGATTTTGTTTAAAGGAAACAGATGTCAGCAAAAGTTTTATTTGCAAATCTTGAAAAGTGCTTATTCATTGCTTTGATTAAATTTGCTTGCTCTACCTTCAACCTTAAAGACTAGCACTTTTACAGGCTTCTGGTTGTGAGCTGGATCTTCAGCATTCTTGTAGCCTTGTGCCAGTCTCAAGAATAGACTACAGCTGGGCATTCCTTGTAGAGTGGGAGGAAAGTCAAGAGAATCCATTCAGCTTGTGTGCAGAAGGGAGGATGAGGGAAGAATGAAGAGAAATTTACTTTTTTTAATAAAGCTGCTGCATCAAGGAGATATTGCCAGTCGATCCAAGTTCCAGAATTGTTCATGACTTTCTCTTGGATTCTGCTTTTAATGTTGGACAGAGTTTGTTCCTCCAGTTTCAAACTTTTTGCATGGTTTTCCCACTGATAAGAGAGAGAGAAAAAATAAATGTTCAGGAAATGTACAAGTAAAAATGAGGCAGTAGTAAAAAAAAAAAAAAAAAAAAAAAAAAAATTTTCTGGTTCTTCAATTCTTCAATGGGAGGCAATTGTTTTTGTTCCTCATGGGGGGGCAGAAATAATGTTTGTATAGAAAGAGTTAAGATACCTGACAGGCTGGAAGACAATCGGTGAGCAAAGATTGCTGGGAGTAGAGGGAATCTTAGGGTTAAAAGGTTGCAAGAGAAATACCTCAGAAACTAAGAGCAGAGATGAGACATTGGAGGAAATAAAACCTGAAGTTTGTCTTACGCCAAATTCACTTACTACCCTGTGTGACACTGGTAAAGGAAAAGGGTTAATTTAAAATATGAACTGGAACAGACAGAGAAGGTTAAAAGTATGGAATAAACTCAAAAATCGAACAAAATGGTTTCCTATCAAAAAATCTAGCTAAAAAAAAAAAAAAAAAAGACAGACCTGAAAAGAATGACTATTGGTTTTGGGAAAGATTATCAGAAGCCATGTGGAAGGCGTCAACCCACGAGGTCTGAAAAGGAGTAGTGAAAGTACATTTGAGGTTAGTTGAGAATTTGGGAAATGAAAGCAGAAATTGATGTCCATTTAATTAAAGTAGAAGTTACAAAAACATGTCTTAAATACCAGATGGAAGAAGGGGTCAACTAATACATAATATTCAGTAATTGTGAAGACTAAGGCAGAATAAAGAAACTGATTTATGACTGTCAAAGAGCAGAAATAGCTTTGCTAATTTTGGGAATGTAAGCAAATCGAGAAATGGGATTTTATCCTTCGCTCAAAGAAATTGAAATACAAAACAGACCTCTAAGGTTCATGAGTATAATGAAAAGAAGTGTATGAAGTTTTGCTCATAGCAGGTCAGCGGAACAGCTGGTAAATATTTGCTTAGATAAACAGGACTTAGGGCTGAGATAATTTGTCAAAGATTAAGATAATTACAATTAATGATTAAAAGTAAGAACCTCCCTTTTGCCCACTGAGTTTGAAAGTCAGATTTGTCAGAGACAGCCAAAAAGACAGGGTTAAATGAAATACTAAGAGAGGAGATGGAGGAAAGAGAAATTACCCCTGCCCATTTGAAAGTAATGGTGCAAGGCATAAATAAGAGAATGAACAAGTTATAAGGGCAGGGCAATACCAGCAACCACCACTAGTAGGGTGAATGGTTCTCCCAAATTTGGAAAGATAATATTTGGAACCAGACAAAGAACTCTTGTTCAAATTGATACAGAAACTGGGATAAATCACCAGATCCCCAAATACTGTCAGCCCAACTTCAGTCTTGGGTTGAAGTCAATATAAGCAGAGTGCTAGGGAGGGTGTGGAAGATGAGAGACAAGCAGCAAAGAGCAGAAAAACGTGTTACTGAAATTCACATGACATGTTGCCAAGAGAACACTTTCACCCCTGTTCCAAGAATTAGCATCAATAGGCAGTTTTAGTGGGAAGGGTTAATGCTATACAAAAAAAAAACAAAAAACTATATAAACCAAATTGACCAAGTTACATATTTTTTTTATTTTGAGAACATTTTTTTCCTTCATGGCACAGCTTTGCCATGGTTCAAACCAGCGCTATGATTACTGACAACACTCGATCTCCACTGCTCTGTGATCAAGAAACACAGCCTGGGTAGAGCAAAGTGCAGACCGGGGCAGTCAGCAACCAACATCCCATTAACCAGTGACAGTATTGACCAGCGTGGGATAGACCCTGCAATCAACTCATCATCTTATGTGCCTGAGGACCAAGTCATATTCTGGTATAGGCGGCATGTTGCAAGAGTCATATCATCTGGTCACTGCTGACCAGGTTCAACCCAGGATCATCTAGGGCAAAGTTTGAATGGAGTTATTTTGTCACTTAGTATCACAATAAGTGCATCGATTTCAGGTTCTTGAAATACAGGAAATGTGGAAACTGACAGATTAATTAAAAAAAAAAAAAAAAGTTATTTTAAGGATTTCCAAGTTTGAAATAAATTTGGAAATTTTACTTCTAATATTGGTTCATGGACAATCATCATCAGATAAAGGATAATTAGAATATTTTGTTATAGAGACATTTTGCTCCTCTCTGCTAAATAACAAATCCTCTAGAATATAAAAAACACAATGTGACTATCAGTTATGCATCCTCATCTCCCCTAATATGATCAAGTGTATCTATATTATGGTAACAGGAGGCTGCTAATATACTGAGTTTTTAATATTCTTAATTTTAATGATTTATAGGTAAAAATAGAATTGTTTAGATAAAAATACAAGGGATTACTGAAAAGTTCTGGAATGAAACCCTATTTGACAGAGCTGAGAACTTTCCAATACCTCCCTTGTATGAAATTACTTGTACAAAGAATACAACAGCAAATTCAAGAATTATTTTTGTTGGTTTTGCAAATAAATAAAATCACTTGAGAGTAGACTGAAAGATAAGTATTTTCTTATATTATCGAATCCTTAAGGCAACATTAAGGATACTAAATTTTATTAAAATGTAAAAACCTTGTGAAAGAGAGACATTAGAATAGGCAACTAATGAGTGCAAGTGGCCAGTAGCTTTGCATTTCACATAAAAGAGCAAAAGAAAAAAAAAAAAATTCAAAAGGGATTTTCAAAGTTACCCCCCCCGCAAAAAAAACAAAAAACTGACCCTCTCAAAATAAAACAAATATTTTTTAAGAGCTTCTCTTGCTTGAGCATGAGCAGATTCATTGGCAATATTTGGGTTTTCTTTGTAGCGACTGCATTCATAATATTCACTGCCATGGGTTTTCCAATCTAAAAGACAAAAATTAAAACCTCAATTTTAGTATTTTCAAAAATTTTTCAGTTAAGACAATTTTTGCTTTTCCAATTCAAATAGTTTTAGAAAGGCCTTTTTATTCAACAACTCAATATGAACGAATAAAGCAACGAACAAGAGCAAACAAATCAGCATTAGAAGCAGAAAAAAAACATCAATCATTAAGATGGAAGGTAACTCTACAATATAAATTTCAAAGTATTGGTTAAAAAAAAAAAAAAAAAAAAAAAAAAAAGTGTATTTGGGGGAGATGGCTTTCTAAACAAAAAAAAAAAAAAAAAAAAAAAAAAAAAAAAAAAAAGTTTTAAAATGATCATATTATGCATGTAGATCAAACAGTACTTCATAAAACTAAGCATAGCACTTTTTTTTTTTTTTTTACTTCAAAAGCCAGCAATTCTGACTATCACAATATCGTATAATCAAGATTTGGACAAAAAGAAGGAGTATGGTTTTGAATTTATTAAGCTTACTCATAGACAGTCAATAATTTTTAATTTCAGAAGAAAATAATTGAAAAATTTTGTTTTAAATAAAAAACAAAATTTAAAAAAAATCATTTTTCATTCATAATACAAGATTTCATAAATTTACTTCTGACATTGCATCAACAACAAACCTTAATATAAAAATAAGGTGGATGTTGACACTGTACAACTTTGTCCCCAGTAATTAATATCAAAATAATTTTTTCAATTTTTATTCATAACTATTAGTAGCAATATATTGTTTTCTAATATTTAATTTATGAGACATACTATTTAACCTTTATAGCCCTGTACGCCCAGTACAAAGCCAAAAGTTGGTATAGAATTAAGAAAAAAAAAAAAAAATCTTACTATAAGAGAAATTCTATACTGGAAATTCTCTAAACTTTTTCCAGAAAATGTCTTAAATAGCCTTGGGAAACAGTTATCAGAATTTGCCAAGAGGCAATTTGATAGCTAAATAAAATCTGTTTGAAAATTAGAGAAAAGAGAAACTTACCTCCTAAGCACATCCAACAAAAATCATGCTTGCATCGGGAACATTGCTGCAGAAAAAAGAAAAAAAAAAAAATTGAAATTTTGAAATACTATTCTTAAAAGAGTGCTCAATACAGAGTAGAGCAAATAATTATTTATTCGAAAATTATAACAAATATGTTATAAAATCACTACAAAATAGCCATTTTGTTTCAGCACTTTTGGTGTCTTATCAAATGATGGTTATTCAACACCATTATATATATATATATATATATATATATATATATATATAAAAATGTGTGTGTATGTGTGTAAGGGAAGAGAAAAAATATTGAATAACCAAAATTTTAATTCCTTTTAATAATAATAATATTGTTGTGCCACCATCTGTCATTTTTTGGGTAATTTCATAATGATTCCCTTTCAGAGCATTTTATGTTCAGCAGAAGAATTCTATATTTTTACAATCTTTCAGAAAATTCTATCAATTCTGAAGGTGTAATACATTTCATTCTTCATTGGAAAGTAACCAGTTTTTATTGCCTGTGTGATTCAATAATTGATAACTATTTCAATGTTCATTTACATGTGTAAGCAACATATTGATAGCAAATGGTACAAGTGATTTTCAATGCTCGATTTGGACAATTTCAATATTTACACTCTTTATAACTGAGTGTTGATTCCCAAAGAACACCTTCAATTGGTCTACCTAGTCGTGGATATCATGGTCAATTATTATTATACAGCCATATGTCACATAAGTTGAATTATAACAAGCCAATATAGAAAAAAAAAAGTGAAAGGTCGCTTAGAAAATTGCTAATATAAAAGGGAGATAATTTTAAAGTTTTGAATTCCTAGAACATAAACTAACAACATAGAATTTATCAGATCTTATTTCAATTCACTAGACATGTTTCCAACACTAAAATGCATATTTACACTTTTTTTTAAAAACTAATCCACGAATTATAAATGGCTGTGAGTTACCTCACTTTTATAATTTTCAATTGCGTATATGGCTCATTTTTTAAATGAATGCTATTAGTATTAGGTAAATTTTCTACTTCATAGTCCATTGCATTTAAGATTAAATTATAAAGTTTGTGATATTTTGATAAATGTGCTGCATTTGGCTGTTCCATTACTAACAGTGAAAAACTATTGACATTTTCTTCACCTCTTGGAAAATCTGACCTTGTAAAAAAAAAGAAAAAAATAGATAAAATTCATTAATTGTATCGATTGGTTTCCTAAAAAAAAAAAAAAAAAAAAAATTCAATTCTCTGTATGAAATAATATGAAGGGAAATTTATTTTTGAAAGGAAAACAAAATCAACTGAATTGGGATTTATATCCAATACCTACAATACATTCAGAAAAAAAAAGAAAAAAAAACTGGGTCTTTTGCTGAATACAAGGAATTCAGAAAGCCTCTAAAACATTGACTGGTCCAAATTGATGAATTACATGATTTTATTTCAGCTTATACGATAAAAGATTTTACTCAATTGGAAGAAGCAAAGTGTTGAACTAACGGTTTTTGAATAAAAAATAAAAATAAAAAAAAAAAAAAATTATATTTTAATTTATAGAATAGTCTTTGGCTCTGAAACACCTTTTCTATCTATAAAAGAATGTATTTGCATTGACCAAATCCTGCACATCCGGCTCCAGTGTGATGGCACCCCTATACTGTTATCCCAGTGATTTATACATGGACATAATGCTAAACTCAAGATTTAGCATTGTTAGAAAATTTTCAAAACTACATATAAAAAATGATGGAAGAACAAGCATACTCAATTCTAAAAGAATTACAAAAAAGACATTACCAATGAAGAAGTTGTCCTTCATTTTCTGCAGAACTTATTGTTATGCTTAACTACAATACTATACGTCTCAACAAGCCTATAAATTACTTCTGGAGAAATTTCCATTACCATCTTTTTCTTTATTAATGAAAATTAAAAATAAAATTAAATGTTTTCAATGTGAAATTTCTACAGAGGAGCAGTACTTTAACTTACTTTCTTAAGGTTTTATGGTTTCATCTAACCAAATGGCAGGATTCTTTGTGCTTGTTTTTGCTATACTTAACTATGAAGATAAATTTATTGTAAAACATGAATCCACTACATAATTTTTAATTTCAGAAAGAAATAATTGAAAAATTTTGTTTTAAATAAAAAACAAAATTTAAAAAATCATTTTCTGTTCCTTATAATACAAAGATTTCATAAATTTATTTCTGACATTGCATCAACAACAAACCTTAATATAAAATAAGGTGGATATTGACACTGTACAACTTTGTCCCAGTAATTAATATCAAAATAATTTTTCAATTTTATTCATAACTATTAGTAGCAATATATTGTTTTCTAATATTTAATTTATGAGACATACTATTTAACCTTTATAGCCCTGTACGCCCAGTACAAAGCCAAAAAGTTGGTATAGAATTAAGAAAAAAAAAAAATCTTACTATAAGAGAAATTCTATACTGGAAATTCTCTAAACTTTTCCAGAAAATGTCTTAAATAGCCTTGGGAAACAGTTATCAGAATTTGCCAAGAGGCAATTTGATATAGCTAAAAATCTGTTTGAAAATTAGAAAAAAGAGAAACTTACCTCCTAAGCACATCCAACAAAAATCATGCTTGCATCGGGAACATTGCTGCAAAAAAAGAAAAAAAAAAAATTGAAATTTTGAAATACTATTCTTAAAAAGAGTGCTCAATACAAGTAGAGCAAATAATTATTTATTCGAAAATTATAACAAATATGTTATAAAATCACTACAAAATAGCCATTTTGTTTCAGCACTTTGGTGTCTTATCAAATGATGGTTATTCAACACCATTATATATATATATATATATATATATATATATATATATAAAAAAATGTGTGTATGTGTAAGGAAGAGAAAAATATTGAATAACCAAAATTTTAATTCCTTTTTAATAATAATAATATAGTTGTGCCACCATCTGTCATTTTTGGGTAATTTCATAATGATTCCCTTCAGAGCATTTTTATGTTCAGCAGAAGAATTCTATATTTTACAATCTTTCAGAAAATTCTATCAATTCTGAAGGTGTAATACATTTCATTCTTCATTGAAAGTAACCAGTTTTTATTGCCTGTGATTCAATAATTGATAACTATTTCAATGTTCATTTTACATGTGTAAGCAACATATTGATAGCAAATGGTACAAGTGATTTTCAATGCTCGATTTGGACAATTTCAATATTTACACTCTTTATAACTGAGTGTTGATTCCCAAAGAACACCTTCAATTGGTCTACCTAGTCGTGGATATCATGGTCAATTATTATTATACAGCCATATGTCATATAAGTTGAATTATAACAAGCCAATATAGAAAAAAAAAAAAGTGAAAGGTCATGAAAATTGCTAATATAAAAGGGAGATAATTTTAAAGTTTTGAATTCCTAGAACATAAACTAAAAACATAGAATTTATCAGATCTTATTTCAATTCACTAGACATGTTTCCAACACTAAAATGCATATTTACAATTTTTTTAAAAACTAATCCACGAATTATAAATGGCTGTGAGTTACCTCACTTTTATAATTTTCAATTGCGTATATGGCTCATTTTTAAATGAATGCTATTAGATTAGGTAAATTTTTCTTCTATAGTCCATTGCATTTAAGATTAAATTATAAAGTTTGTGATATTTTGATAAATGTGCCATTTGGTTGTTCCATTACTAACAGTGAAAACTATTGACATTTTCTTCACCTCTTGGAAAATCTGACCTTGTAAAAAAAAAAAAAAAAGAAAAAAATAGATAAAATTCATTAATTGTATCGATTGGTTTCCTACAAAAAAAAAAAAAAAAAAAAAATTCAATTCTCTGTATGAAATAATATGAAGGGAAATTTATTTTGAAAGGAAAACAAAATCAACTGAATTGGGATTTATATCCAATACCTACAATACATTCAGAAAAAAAGAAAAAGAAAACTGGGTCTTTTGCTGAATACAAGGGAATTCAGAAAGCCTCTAAAACATTGACTGGTCCAAATTGATGAATTACATGATTTTATTTCAGCTTATACGATAAAGGATTTTACTCAATTGGAAGAAGCAAAGTGTTGAACTAACGGTTTTGAATAAAAAAAATAAAAAATAAAAATTATATTTTAATTTATAGAATAGTCTTTGGCTCTGAAACACCTTTTCTATCTATAAAAGAATGTATTTGCATTGACCAAATCCTGCACATCCGGCTCCAGTGTGATGGCACCTATACTGTTATCCCAGTGATTTATACATGGACATAATGCTAAACTCAAGATTTAGCATTGTTAGAAAATTTTCAAAACTACATATAAAAAAAATGATGGAAGAACAAGCATACTCAATTCTAAAAAAGAATTACAAAAAAGACATTACCAATGAAGAAGTTGTCCTTCATTTTCTGCAGAACTTATTGTTATGCTTAACTACAATACTATCGTCTCAACAAGCCTATAAATTGCTTCTGAGAAATTTCCATTACCATCTTTTTCTTTATTAATGAAAATTAAAAAATAAAATTAAATGTTTTCAATGTGAAATTTCTACAGAGGAGCAGTACTTTAACTTACTTTCTTAAGGTTTTATGGTTTCATCTAACCAAATGGCAGAGTTCTTTGTGCTTGTTTTGCTATACTTAACTATGAAGATAAATTTATTGTAAAACATGAATCCACTACAAGAATGCCTGCTGAAAAAGGAATTAACTTTGCAGCAAAAATTGTTATGAATATATTTTGCAACAAAGTTTTCATCAGATGAAGTCCCCCCCCCAAAAAAAAAGGCAAAAGAAAATCTATAGAGAAACTGTTGGTAAATTTTTTTTATTTTATTTTTTTTGTATTACTGTTTAATTCTTTAATAAGTTTATTTGTTTACAATCTTTCATTATTACTTTTCTGTTTAAATAGAGAAAAAAAAAAAAAAAAAAAAAAAAAAAATCTTAAAGCGCATTTTCTTCATCACATGAAAATCAATAAAATAAAATTTAAAAACATTCACTATCAGAATATGATAAAAATGTCATCTTTTAGAATGAAATCAGTCAAAGCCAGCAAAAAATCTTTGGACAAAAATTAAGAATCACTTATTGAAAATTTACAGATAATTTTAATCTTTTTCAGAATAAAACTTAATTGTACTTTTCTAAAATAAT